GCCTTAGTTTTGTCTGATTCTTTTTTGATGCGGAAAGCTAGCCATACGAATTCCCTTTATCCATTCATATTTTCGCGCAAAGAAAGGAGAAGCCCAGGCAAACCTGTCTTTTCAAAATTCTAGGTTTTTCTCTTACAAGAGAGCCAATTATTAACTCAGTCATATATACCTATATGAGAATACTCTCATTTGTCTTGCCTAGTGTGTTCCGCTCACAATGTATCTTTTCAGTCAACTCTCATTCTGGCGTTTCGAATAAGTCTAACAAAATGGACTCATCAAACAACAATACAAATCAAACTGAAGTGCGATTCAGCATGAGTGCATTGACGCGGGTAAGTTCTCTTGTCAATAAATCTGAATTTTCATAATTATCTCGTATTTAAGATTACCGAAATTGGAGCGGAAATGGCTCAACTCCAAGAACAACAGGACAAGTTGGGTATTAATAATTCACAACGGCTTAGCGAACTGCAGGCGCAGAGAGCTAGCATTCTACTGGAAGCTTTGAGTTCACAAAAGTAAGTTTTTGAAGACAGTTATTTTTATCAATCTCCTTGCAAAATTGTTTTCATGTCTTTCTATGGCTTCTACTCTAATTATTTGATATCTCATCTTCATTGGTTTTCGAAACTTTCCTGTAGCATATTGAGCGGAACCGCACTGACATCAGCGACTTAAATGCACTTTTGCCAGTTTTCTTTGATTGAGATGATGCGCACCGCCGCGCGTCATTGTAATTGATCATAGCGTGGTAAGCACACGAAAGAAGCAGAGAGCGCAGATGCTTTGACCTTGGTATGGCAGCTATTGCAAACAAACAGAATAAAACAATTATTATGATGTATCAATTGGATGTGAACGCTCAACATGTGGAAAGAATTTTTATATGCGCTCTGTTCCAGTTGGACGCTGATTATTAGCCTGTAGGATCCGCAATGGATAGCAATATTGACTTTAGTGCGAAGTGTTTCAGTGTTATTAATTAGTTTTGAACGAATTTGTTACTGGCAAATGTTGGCTCCTTATATTGCAGCCTTCGTATAGGTTGTGAGTTTGACCTAACGAGCACTAGAAAAGGAAGCCTGTGATATTTAAGCAGGGCGATGAAAAAAAAACAATATATGCAAGGAGTTTCCATGAAACAATCTCATCGCTTTTTTACATTTTTGTTTTACAAGCACCTCTTCAAATGTCTTGTAAGTGGTTCAGTAGTATACACTCAGGAATAATAAGCCTTTATGTAATTTGAAGATCTTTGACCCAAAATATTCTTTCCAGCGTTGGCGAAACGGTTTTGAGTCAAGTAAAGCAAGTAGCCGCAGCTGCTGCTCCACCCTCCAAACCTAGACCAGCAGCTAGATCTCGAGGTAGCCACGGTCATTCCTCACGTCAGCAGCACTTCGAAAACAACCCAGAATCTCCACAGTATCAGCCGCAGATGTACCTTGCCAGTCATAACCAATACCCAAGCACAAGTACTGCCCAGTGAGTGTCTTTGCTATTTATACCTTAATGACTTTCACTATATATGCTTCCTGCTTCATTATCTTGCGCGCTTTAGGTTCCAAGAATTCTCTACTGGAAATAATAACCAAGCTCAAGTTGTTCATCAACAAGAGGCGGCCGGATCTGTACTTCGTCAACCTCAGCAGCGAGTTTATAGGGTAAGTCTCGAGTTG